GTACAAGTCTCGATTGTGACCTTTTAGCCCCCAAACAACCCAGCAAACCTATGCATGGGTGGTATCACTGTACTCAAGAGATGTTGCTGAACACATAAAGGGGTGTTGTTTGGCAGTGACACATAACACGACTTGTTAATTCATACCTAAAGTAAAATGTGTGTGAAAAAAAAACACACAAAAAATGACTACCTAAAAGTTTGACAAAGTCTGGTGGTAGAATTAGCGCATGGAAAGTGTTTAAAAAAAACCCACCATTTGAAATACCCTAGGGTGTCTACTTTCCAAAAATATATGGTTTGGAGTAGGTAAAATGCATTGGCCAGCCTTACAAATGCTAAACCTAAATAGGACATGTGCCAGTTGACTAAGCATGTCAAAATTCCAAGTTGAAAATGATGGCGCGCGACCTGCCAAATGTACTTTAGCCCCCAAACAATCCGACAAGCCTATGCATGGGTGGTATCACTGTACTCAGGAGATGCTAAGGAACACATACAGGTGTTGTTTGGCAGGACACATAACACGATTTGTTAATTCATGCCTAAAGTACAATGTGTGTAAAACCACACAAAAATGACTACCTAAATGTTTGATTGGGCCAAATGTCTGGTACCTTAGTGCATGGAAAGTGTTAAAAAACCACCATTTGAAATAACTTAGGGTGTCTACTTTCCAAAAATATATGGTTTGCGGGGGTAGCCATCGGCCTTACAAATGTCCCAACAGGACACATAAAGCAGGTTGACTACATGTCAAAATTCCAAGTTGAAAAATGGATATGCGCACCCGCCAAATGTGGCCTTTTAGCCCCCAAACAATCCGACAAGCCTATGCATGGGTGGTATCACTGTACTCAGGAGATGTTGCTGAACACATATTGGCGTGTTGTTTGGCAGTGACACATAACACGATTTGTTAATTCATGCCTAAAGTACAATGTGTGTGAAAAAAAACACACAAAAAATGACTTCCTAAATGTTTGACAATGTCTGGTGGTAGAATTAGTGCATGGAAAGTGTTAAAAAACCACCATTTGAAATACCCTAGGGTGTCTACTTTCCAAAAAATATATGGTTTGGTGGGGGTAAAATACATTGGCCGGCCTTACAAATGTCCCAAATAGGACATGTGCGCAGGTTGACTACATGTCAAAATTCCAAGTTGAAAAATGGATATGCGCACCTGCCAAATGTGGCCTTTAGCCCCCAAACAATCCGACAAGCCTATGCATGGGTGGTATCACTGTACTCAGGAGATGTTGCTGAACACATATTGGCGTGTTGTTTGGCAGTGACACATAACACGCTTTGTTAATTCATGCCTAAAGTACAATGTGTGTGAAAAAAACACACAAAAAATGACTACATAAATGTTTGACAAAGTCTGGTGGCAGAATTAGTGCATGGAAAGTGTTAAAAAACCACCATTTGAAATACCCTAGGGTGTCTACTTTCCAAAAATATATGGTTTGGTGGGGGTAAAATACATTGGCCGGCCTTACAAATGTCCCAAATAGGACATGTGCGCAGGGTGACTACATGTCAAAATTCCAAGTTGAAAAATGGATATGCACACCTGCCAAATGTGGCCTTTTAGCCCCCAAACAATCCGACAAGCCTATGCATGGGTGGTATCACTATACTCAGGAGATGTTGCTGAACACATATTGGCGTGTTGTTTGGCAGTGACACATAACACGATTTGTTAATTCATGCCTAAAGTACAATGTGTGTGAAAAAAAACACAAAAAAAATGACTACCTAAATGTTTGACAATGTCTGGTGGTAGAATTAGTGCATGGAAAGTGTTAAAAAACCACCATTTGAAATACCCTAGGGTGTCTACGTTCCAAAAATATATGGTTTGGTGGGGGTAAAATACATTGGCCGGCCTTACAAATGTCCTAAATAGGACATGTGCGCAGGTTGACTACATGTCAAAATTCCAAGTTGAAAAATGGATATGCGCACCTGCCAAATGTGGCCTTTTAGCCCCCAAACAATCCGACAAGCCTATGCATGGGTGGTATCACTGTACTCAGGAGATGTTGCTGAACACATATTGGTGTGTTGTTTGGCAGTGACACATAACACGATTTGTTAATTCATGCCTAAAGTACAATGTGTGTGAAAAAAAACACACAAAAAATGACTACCTAAATGTTTGACAATGTCTGGTGGTAGAATTAGTGCATGGAAAGTGTTAAAAAACCACCATTTGAAATACCCTAGGGTGTCTACTTTCCAAAAATATATGGTTTGGTGGGGGTAAAATACATTGGCCGGCCTTACAAATGTCCCAAATAGGACATGTGCGCAGGTTGACTACATGTCAAAATTCCAAGTTGAAAAATGGATATGCGCACCTGCCAAATGTGGCCTTTTAGCCCCCAAACAATCCGACAAGCCTATGCATGGGTGGTATCACTGTACTCAGGAGATGTTGCTGAACACATATTGGCGTGTTGTTTGGCAGTGACACATAACACGATTTGTTAATTCATGCCTAAAGTACAATGTGTGTGAAAAAAAACACACAAAAATGACTACCTAAATGTTTGACAAAGTCTGGTGGTAGAATTAGTGCATGGAAAGTGTTAAAAAACCACCATTTGAAATACCCTAGGGTGTCTACTTTCCAAAAATATATGGTTTGGTGGGGGTAAAATACATTGGCCGGCCTTACAAATGTCCCAAATAGGACATGTGCGCAGGTTGACTACATGTCAAAATTCCAAGTTGAAAAATGGATATGCGCACCTGCCAAATGTGGCCTTTTAGCCCCCAAACAATCCGACAAGCCTATGCATGGGTGGTATCACTGTACTCAGGAGATGTTGCTGAACACATATTGGCATGTTGTTTGGCAGTGACACATAACACGATCTGTTAATTCATGCCTAAAGTACAATGTGTGTGAAAAAAAACACACAAAAAATGACTACCTAAATGTTTGACAATGTCTGGTGGTAGAATTAGTGCATGGAAAGTGTTAAAAAACCACCATTTGAAATACCCTAGGGTGTCTACTTTCCAAAAATATATGGTTTGGTGGGGGTAAAATACATTGGCCGGCCTTACAAATGTCCCAAATAGGACATGTGCGCAGGTTGACTACATGTCAAAATTCCAAGTTGAAAAATGGATATGCGCACCTGCCAAATGTGGCCTTTTAGCCCCCAAACAATCCGACAAGCCTATGCATGGGTGGTATCACTGTACTCAGGAGATGTTGCTGAACACATATTGGCGTGTTGTTTGGCAGTGACACATAACACGATTTGTTAATTCATGCCTAAAGTACAATGTGTGTGAAAAAAACACACAAAAATTACTACCTAAATGTTTGACAAAGTCTGGTGGTAGAATTAGTGCATGGAAAGTGTTAAAAAACCACCATTTGAAATACCCTAGGGTGTCTACTTTCCAAAAATATATGGTTTGGTGGGGGTAAAATACATTGGCCGGCCTTACAAATGTCCCAAATAGGACATGTGCGCAGGTTGACTACATGTCAAAATTCCAAGTTGAAAAATGGATATGCGCACCTGCCAAATGTGGCCTTTTAGCCCCCAAACAATCCAACAAGCCTATGCATGGGTGGTATCACTGTACTCAGGAGATGTTGCTGAACACATATTGGCGTGTTGTTTGGCAGCAAGACATAACAGGATCTGTAAGTTTATACCTGAATTGCAATGTATGTGAAAAAAAACAAAAAAAACAACTATCTATGCAAAGTTTGGCAAAGACTTGTGGTAAAATGGCTGCATAGAAAGTGTCAAAATATCCTTAGATGAATACCCTGGGTTGTCTACTTTAAAAAAAATATATACATGTGGAGTGTTTTCCAGAGATTTATGACAGATGATAGTGTTACAATGTCACTATTGATACATTTAAAAAAATTTTGTTTTGAAACCGCCATATCCTACTTGTACCTATAGCCCTATAACTTGCAAAAAAAAGCAAAAAAGCACGTAAACACTGGGTATTTTTAAACTCAGGACAAAATTTTGAATCTATTTAGCTGTTTTTTTCATTCGCTTTTGTAGATGAGTAAAAGATTTTTCAAGTAAAAGTCAAAAAACATGTATTTTTTCAATTTTTCATCATATTTTTTTATTTTTTTTAAATTAAAATACATGAGATTATATAAATAATGGTATGTAAAGAAAGCCCCTTTTGTCCTGAAAAAAACAATATATAATTTGTATGGGAACAGTAAATTAAAAAGTGTAAAAATATTCCTGGTTGCAAATGTACAACATCGCAAAAACAGTCCAGTCCTTAAGGGGTTAATGTCAAAATAGCCAAACTGAAAAAAATTTAAGTCAGCTATGCTTTCATTTTGGCTTTAACCTTAAATGTAACATTTTCTCACTTAGAAAATAACTCTGTACACCACCAGGCCACCCGGAGAATGGAGACCCAGAAGACGGATCTACTCCTGCTATGACAGCGCGAGACCCGCAGACCCCAAACACTTGAACTTGCCCAAGGACTGAGCCTAAAACAAGCCATCTACAACACAGTTACCACTGCCAATCTGGCCGCATGTGTTTTGGTTATGATTCTCTTGTTTACTCCCACCCGAGTTCACTTTTATTCCTGTATCCACTTTTATATTTGCTCTTTATGATTTAATGTTTGAGCATTGCCAATAATTGTATGGGACCCACTCCCACAACAGGGGTAGACAGACCCCCTACGACTGACAACCTGAAGGAGTCTATCCCAATCTAGAATCCTCCCCCCGCCCCTGCCCCCCCAAGGTTAGGGATACCAGATAGGAAGTCACAATATGTATCATCGGAGTAATACTCTCACATGACACTCCAACACACCCGAACACACCAGGAACTCCGTAGTAGTGTACATACAGGCATCCAATCGTA